GCAAATTCTCCCTGTTTCATTTCTGTTGTTCACTGCACCAATTTTCACTCTTTTTTCCCTTCTTTTTCTTCAGTCAATTACTTTTTTTTTTTTTCCGTCAGTAAAAGATCCATTCTTTTGGACGGCTTCTTTGCCTGCAATTTTATACCGCAACAAGAGGCAAAGAAATATAACAGTTACCGATAGTCTGCCCACTCCTTCCCCCCCAATTCATCTCCACCCCATACCACTACTCCTTTGCACTTCGCTTTTCCTTCGCTTTCCACCTCTATCCGCAGTATACTATTGTTGCTGTTGTCGTTGTTTATTTTCTTTTTTTTAATCTATAAGATATGTCGTGAGCATGTAGAGCGTGTAGATTTGATTAAAAAAAAAAAGTGGCTAACAAAGCAATCATATTTCAAAAGAAAAAAAATAAAAAAAAACGAAAATAAATAAATTGAAATAAGAAAGGGGGGAAAAAGTGAAGAAAGCTAACAGCCATTGGTAGTGGCAGTAAACAGCACCAAAAAAAAGGAAGAAAGTCCCTACCAAGGAATATATTTTTTTCCAATGCAGATTTCCAACACTTTCTTTTCTGCTTTGCTTTTGCTTTTGCTTTAAAATGTCTCAAAAAAAAAAATAAATAATATGAAGAAAGAATACTAAGATAAAAAAAAAAGAGCGAGCAAATCAAAAAGAAATATAGCTACAATTTTTTTTTTTTTTTTGTATTTGTATTATAAGCTTATAAAACATAAACATTGCCAACTGAACAACCAAGATGAAAAAGAGCAATGGATATGGAGAAACAGAAACAGAAGTAGAAGTGGAGGAAGAAGGACGATTAGAAGGAGAAGGAGAAGAAGAAGGTGATAATAGCCAAAAGAAGTAACGATGAAATGCTGTTAATTAAATCAATGAAATTCTTCTGGATCATGATGAAGATGATCATGATAATTAAGAAAGTATTTGTTGATCATAATCATTTGCTGCTGTTGCCGCTTCTGATGCTTCTGCTACCAGGTTGTTGCTGTTGAAAATCAGAGAAAAAAAAACTGAAAATTCTAAAATGCTGAGTTACTGGCAAAAACCTTTACTTAGCTGGAAAAAAAAAAAAAGAAAACGGGAAGAAAAAACAACCCGTTTGATTTGTCAATTTTTCTGCGATCAAGTCACTTTTCTCTCGTTTTTTTTTTTTAGTTTAGAAACAGGCAATAAAATTGGATAAACTAAAATTAATAGATATTTCTGATAAATAAACTTTCTTTTTTTTTTTTTTTTT